CTGAGGAGTTGCCATAGGTTTGTATGTCTGTTATCTGAAAAACTGTCCTGTGGAAGTAGAACTAATTCCTCTCTATTATCTCTTTCAGAGTGGAGAGGATAGAAAGCAAATTTGGCTTGTTATGAGGAATGCTCTAATTATTATAGCCTCCTACAAGAAAGTGAGTGGCCTGGAGAGTTAAGGATTTCTTAGAGACCCCAGATACCTGAACAGGTATTGGAAATTAAGGAGTACAACTCTATGCAAGAAATCTACTTTAAACATAGACAGAAATAGGTTAAAAGTAGGAGGAAGTAAAAAGATATGTCATGCTAATGCTAACTAAAAGAGAGCTGAAATGGCTATATTAATATAATACAAGAGAAAATTCATAAAAAATGTTTATATACCTAATAACTTTAAAATAGATTAAGCAATAACTGATGGAGATGCAAGGAGAAATGAACAAATTCAGAGTTACAGTCTATGTGTATAATTAATAGAACAAGTATACAGAAAATCAGTCAGGATATAGAAAATTGAATAAAACGTTCAACCATGTAGATTTAATAAATATTTACCATTCCACCTAATAACTGCAAAATACGCATTCTTTTCAAATGCACAAGGAACATTTATCAAGATAGATCAGGGCTGGGTACAGTGACACATGCCTGTAATCCCAGCAGCTTGGAAGGCTGAGACAGGAGGATTGCAAGTTCAAAGCCAGCCTCAGCAACTTAGTGAGGCACTAAGCAACTCCATGAGATCCTGTCTCTAAATAAAATATAAAATAGGGCTGAGGATGTGGCTCAGTGGTCGAGTACCCCTGAGTTTAATCCCAGGTACCCCCCACCAAAAAAAGATAGATTAGGGATGGGGATAGTTCAGTGGTAGAACACTTGCCTAGCACGCACAAGGCCCTGGATTTGATCCCCAATCCATAAAAAAAGAACAATTTCTGGTCCACAAAGCAAGTTTTAATAAATTTAAAAGATGCCAGCCAGACATAATGGTACACACCTCTAATCACAGCTACTCTGGAGGTTGAGGCAGGAAGATCACAAGACCAAGGCCAGCCTGGGAAATTTATTTTTTTTAAGAGAGAGAGAGAGAGAGGAGAGAGAGAGAGAGAGAGAGAGAGAGAGAGAGAGAATTTTTAATATTTATTTTTTTAGTTCTTGGTGGACACAACATCTTTGTTGGTATGTGGTGCTGAGGATCGAACCCGGGCCGCACGCATGCCAGGCGAGCGCGCTACCGCTTGAGCCACATCCCCAGCCCAGCCTGGGAAATTTAATGAGACGCTGTCTCAAAAACAATTTTAAAGACTGGGGATATATCTCAGTGGTAGAGCACACCTGGGTTCAATCCACACACAACAAACACACATACACGGCACAAACCAAGGAATACTAGCAACCATTAGAAGCTAGAAGATTCAAGGAATGATTCTCTTCTAGATTCTATGGAGTAAGAATGATTACGTCAACACTTTGATATTCAATGTCAATGTCCTTGGATTTCTGTCATCCAGAATTGTGAGGAATTAACTTTCCATTGTTTTAAGCCAAAAAGGTTTTTTGTTTGATTTGGTTTGGTTTGGTACCAGGGATTGAACCCAAAGGCACTTAACCACTTAGTACATCTCCAGACTTTCTTTTGAGACAGGATCTTGGTAAGTTGCTGAGGCTGGCCTCAAATTTGAATCCTCCTGCCTTAGCCTCCTAGGCTGCTGGGACTACAAGCATGCACACCACACCAGGCCCCAAAATATATTTTAAAGGATTCAAGTCAGGGGGCTAGGGTTGTGGCTCAGTGGTAGAACACTTGCCTAGCATGTGTGAAGCACTGGGTTTGATCCCCAGTTCCACATATAAATAAATAAAATAAAGGTCCATCAACAACTAATAAAAATACTTTTTTAAGAAAAGGATTTAAGGGGCTGGAGATGTGGCTCAGCGGTAGCGCGCTCGCCTGGCATGCGTGCGGCCCGGGTTCAATCCTCAGCACCACATACCAACAAAGATGTTGTGTCCGCCGAGAACTAAAAAATAAATATTAAAAAAAAAAAGAAAAGGATTTAAGTCAAACAAATTATGTTATTTGACTACAATGGAATAAAATTAGAAATGAATAATAGAAATATCTCTGGAAATCCAATTCCTGAAAATCAAACAACACACTTCTCAACAACAGGAATCAAAGAAGTACTCAAAAAGGAAATTATAGAAAATGCTTTGAATAGAATGAAAAACAAAACAAGTGGGAATTCTAGAGCACTTAATGCTCACATTAGAAAGGAAGGGTCTCAAATCAATGGCCTCATCTCCCACCTTAAGAAATTCAAAAAAGAAGATGAAATGAAATTCAAAGTAAGTGGAAGAAAGGGAATTATAAAGGTCAGAATTGAAATCAGTGAAATAGAAAATAGAAAAGAGAGTCTGAGATAGTGACACACACCTATAATCCCAGCTACTCAGGAGTCTGAGGCAGGAGGATTGCAAATTGGAGGCCAGCCTGGGCAATTTAGAAAGACCCTGTCTCAAAAAAAAAAAAATTTTTTTTTTTTTTTGCAGTACTGCAGATTGAACTCAGGCATGTAGTACCATTGAGCTACATCCCCAGCTCTTTTATTTTAATTTATTTTAATTATTTATTTTGGTACCAGGGATTGAACCCAGGAGTGCTTAGCTACTGAGCCACACTACCAGCTCTCTCCATATAGAGACAGAATCTCACTAAATTGCTTAGGGCCTCGCTAAATTGCTGAGGCTGGCTTTGAACTTACTATCCTCCTTCCTCAGCCTCCCAGTCACTGGGATTACAGGTGTACACCACTGTGCCCAGTTTATTTTCATTTTTGAGACAGGGTCTCACTAAATTGTCCAGGCTGGCCTCAAATTTGCCATCCTCCTGCCTCTCAACCTCCCGAGTCTCTAGGATTACAGGCATGCACCACCATGCTTGGCTCAAAATAAAAATAATTTTGAAAAGGGCTGAAGATATAGTTCAGTGATAGAGAGCTTGCCTATCATGTGTGAGGACCATGAGTTCCCTCCCCAGTACCACAAAAAAAGGAATTAAAAAATATAGAGAAAACCATTGAAATTGAAAGCTGTTTCTTTCAGAAAATTAGATAAAATTAATAAGCCTCTAATGCGGCTGATTTTTAAAAAGAAAGGCAAATCATTAGTATCAGAAATGAGAAAGAAAGCTGGGTGCAGTGGTACATGCCTTTAATCATAGCAACTTAGAAGACTGAGACAGGAGGATCATAAGTTCGAGGCCAGCCTGAACACCTTAGTAAGACACTGCCTTAAAATGAAAAATTAAAAAGGCTGAGGATGTGGCTCAGTGGTAAAACATCCCTGAGTTCAATTCCTAGTACCAAAAATAGAAAAAAAAAAACAAGAAATAAGAAATGACACTGCTAAGGATTGATATTAAAAGGATAATAGAGGAATATTATAATAAACAATCTTGTGGCGATAAAGTCAATGGCAAAGACAAAATAGACAAATGCCTTCAAAGACACATACTACCAAACACATTCAAGAAGAAATAGATAACCTAAATCGTTATCTGTTATTAAATAAATTTAATTTGCAGTTTAAAACTTGCTTATGAAGAAAGCACCAAGAGACAGCTGGGCTGAGATATGAGATAGGGGTGGTCATTAGCACTGAGGAGTTAGAGGAAGTCATGGATAGGAAGAAACTTCTTAGAAAGTATTATAAGGCTGGGCATGTGGCTCAGACCACATGAGGCCCTGGGTCAATCAGCTCTGGAAAAATAGAAAGGGGCAGGGGGAAGCATAGCAGAATCCTAGAGATTCCCTAGTGCTAAAAAAGAAAGTTTAAAAGTCTTTTCCCATCCCTAGCACTGCAAAAAATAAAAGATTTTAGCTGAGATAGTGCCATTGCATGGAGCTTTCTTGTACTTTTAGATCTTGATTTCTAGCCCTTCCTCCTTAGTGAATGAAAGTTGGAATGCCAAATTGGCAGGGAAATGGGACACTAAATTGGGAGAGATAAATAATGAGGTAATGCAGATCTTGGATTCAATACATACAATAAAATGTATGAATGTACCACTGAATGATTTTGACTGTACATACACCTGTGCAACTCAAGCCTCTACATGTATACAGAATGCTTTCAACACCCCAGAAGTTTCCCTTACTTCACCAGGACAGGTAATTCCTCCTCTAGTCCCTGGAGACCGGCACCATTCTGTCTGCTGCTCTCCATACTTTAAAAAAAAGAAATCTCTTAGAGGCTGGGCTGTAGCTCAGTTCTCTCAACGGTAGAATGCTTGCCTAGCATATGTGAGGCCCTGGTTCCATTCTTAGCACTGCAAAAAAAAAAAAGAGAATTTTAAAATCTTTTAAACTTGTGGGTTATTCAAAGAAAGTATGGATGATCAGGTGGCAGGATCAGGGATGGGAAATATGAGTCTGAATGCTGCTTGCGATCATTTATTCCATGTAATTTTAAAATCAAATCAAATAAAGCGGCTTCTCTTCTCCACCAAAGAGAAGTTTTGCAAGAGTTGACCTCCAGCCTTCAGGGTCTTCCTGACTAGGGAAGAGGGAGGATTTGTTTAACCACTTTGTTCTTTCCTTTTTAACCTGTTTGTATTTAACCAGAACCCTGTTAGGCATTTTAATAACCTTTTTGTTGTTGTTGACTTAAGTAAGAGATGAACTTTAGATATACGTCCAAACTCCAAAGTTTAGGTTCCTTTCACCCCCTAAGTCTCTACCGACACACACACCCCCACCTCTTCCCAGGGTGGCTTTGCAGGATTCTTCCAGCCATGGGAGAGGAATGTATTTTTGGACCCAGGAGAGGGAAGGGCCAGCAAGTGGGATAGCTGTCGGCACCTGTCTCCAAGCCTGAGGTCATCCACCTGCCCAGCCACAGTGCTCCAGGCAGAGATTCCCCTCCCCACGGTCCTCCGCCAGACCTTTTGGCTGCTGCATAAATCACCCGACCGGACACGGGTGAGTGCCCGGGGTTGGGCCTGCTTCCCCACCCCCTCCCTGGAAAGGAAAGGCCCAGGCAACTTCGGTTTGAGACCTACAGGACCCAATTTCCCAACCGCGGGAAGCCGGAAGGAAATCGATTGCCCCGTGCCCAATCGTGCCCAATCGTGGCCAATCCTGTGCTCTGGGATCGATTCCCACAGGCCCTGGTGCCCACAGCAGAGCTCCGCACCAGGAACAAGACAAGCTCAGCCTGCAGCTTCCCAGTGTCTTGCTATCGCTGGCGCTTCTGTGATCGTCGCCCGGAGGCTGCAGGGGCAATATCAGATTGTGCAAAGACCCTGACTCTCTGTACAAATACCCCAGGTACAGTGCGGGCCCCTGATGTTTGTCCCCTCTCTCCCCGCCCTGGCCACCCTTAGGCGGCCAGGGCAGGGGTTAGAAATGGGACATTTGGCAGCCCCCAACTTGCAGGATAGAGAGATAGAGATAGAGCCTGGGGTTGAAAGTCACTATTGCAAAAGCCGCTTGTCTGATCTTAAGGCTTATCTAAGATTGATAGCATGAAGGACTTTGGAGTCTGAGCCAATATTTAACAGCCAATGAACATTCCAGATGCTAGGAGGCTGGCAGGTAGTATCTGAGTTTGAGCTGTGAGTTTAAAAAAAAAAAAAAGTGTTTTTGAAGGAAACATTAAACCAAAGATTATTTTTCCTTTTTTCTCTGTCTTCTATTCATTTGCCCACCCATGTGGATGACTTCTTAGCTCAAAGCAGATATAAGACAGAAGCATGAAGTTGCAGGAAATTTTTATCAGCACTGGAAGCCTGCTCACTCAAGGAAGACTTGGGGAAAGAGAAAAGTTGCCTTTCACATGGGATGCTTATCTAATCTTTTTTTTTTTCCTGGATAATTTTTCTTTTTCTTCTCCCAGTTCACTCATCACCATCTCTGGCCTAAAGTCCCAGCATAGAATGTTCCTTGCCTGTGTTCAAGACTCTTTGTCAAACTGGCACCATGCCTTCTTAGGAAGCAAGACATAGCAGAGGGGCTGTTGGTTCCTCCACCACTTGTACCTTGCTAATGTCCTTTTACCACCCCTTCCATTGCCTGTTTTTTTCTTCTTTTTTTAAAATAAATTTTTAATTGTAAATGGACATAATGCCTTTATTTTATTTATTTTTATGTGGTGCTGAGAATCAAACCCAATATCTCACACATGGTTGGCAAGCACTCTACCACTGAGCTGCAACCCCAGCCCCCCGCATTGCCTGATTTTGAAAATGGATGTTAGGAGGTATTTTTTTGAGGGGGAGGGAGTTATGCTGGGAATTGAACCCCAGGGCCTAGCACATGCTAGGCAAGTGCTCTACCACTGAGCTACACCCAGTCCTGGATATTAGTTCTAATTCAGTGTATTATCATTGGTGAACATATTTCTAAAAATGTAGATCAGGAAGGTCCTGGCCTCCAAGGGGGATCAATAGCACCAACAGATGGGTAAGGGGGAACAAGCAAGAGAAGGTGACCTGCAGACACCCAAGTCAGCCACCAATGAGAGAATTGCCCGCCCCTGACCTACTTTGGGGACCAGGGTGCTGGCATAAAGGGTGGCCTTGCACTATCTGAACAGCCAGCTCTGCTTTCTGAGGGTCACTAGCACCAAGGTGTGGATACTTTTTTTTCTTCTTTATAAAAAAGAAAATCCCACTGGTAAGTTGACTGAAGCTGTCTCGTGTTATCTCTTGTCAGCTCTTTCTTCCTCCTACATGTCTCCTCCTGTCACATTGCCTATCTTATTCTGACTTTGGGAAAGTATGCCTTGCCTTTCCAGTTCTAATGAAACAGGTGGCAAGTGCAGTGGTGTATGCCTGTAATCCCAGCTATTTGGGAGGCTAAGGCAGGAGGATGACAAGTTTGAGGCCAGCCTGGGCAGCTTAGCAAGAACCTGTCTCAAAATAAAACTTTAAAAGGGCTGGGGGTATAATTCGGTGATAAACTGCTTGCCAAGCATGTGCAAGTTCCCAGGTTCAACCCCCAGTAATTGAAAAAAAAAAGGCATATCTCAGAGAGATTTCAGGTTCACTTCCAGAATAGTGCAATAGAGTAAATGTCTAATAATAAAAGTTATGTTTAGGACTGGGGCTGTAGCTCAGTGCAAAGCACTTGCCTAGCTTGTGTGAGACACTAGGTTCAATCCTCAGCACCACATAAAAATTAAAAAATAAAATAAAGGCATTTTGTCCATCTACAACTACAAAAAAAAAAAAAGTTATGTTTACGGACAGGGCACAGTGACTCATGCCTATCATCCCAGCAGCTCAGGAGGCTGAGGCAGGAGGATTGCAAGTTCAAAGCCAGCCTCAGCGACTTATGGAGGCTCTAAGCAACTTAGCAAGACCCTGTCTCAAATAATAATAATAATAATAATAATAATAATAATAATAATAATAATAATGGGCTGGGGATGTTACTTAGTGGTTAAGCACCCCTGGGTTTAATCCCTGGTACCCCCCCAAAAAAGTTATGTTTAAAATATCCAGTATTCTATTAAGTGTGAAATAGCATTATGCTTAAAATGTGCATAGCTTAATTTAAAATATTTTATTGCTAAAAAAATGTTCAGTATTATCTGAACTGTTAGAAAAATAGTGCCAATAGGTTTATTCCACTCAGGGTGTCACAAACTTTCAATTTGTAAAAATGCAATATCTGCAAAATACCATAAAACAAGATATATGTGTAGTCTGTATTGGGATTTTGACCAGGGTTTTAAAACAGGTGTGGTGCTGAATTTGGTCCATGCAATTACATTTCATTTGATCTCTGTTACCTTCAATAGGTCTCTCCCACGACAATGTCTTCCATTAAGATCGAGTGTGTTTTGCCAGAGAATTGCCGGTGTGGTGAGTCTCCAGTATGGGAAGAATCATCCAACTCTCTGCTTTTCGTAGACATTCCTGCAAAAAAGGTGTGCCTTTGGAATTCACTCACCAACCAAGTGCAGCGAGTGACCGTGGGTAAGGATGAAGTTTGGCCTCACATCTTTACAGTTAGGGGAGGGATGGTCTCCTTGTTTGTCATTCCCCTGGGACCTTCTTGTTAAAGCATACTTAATGTGCTTCAAGACCTTTTCGATTGTCACATTCTCTGTGTCAGAGTTCTGTGTTCTCTCACTTTGACCCAGAAGGTAAATTGTGGATCATCAATACTTCCCTCATCCACTTAAAGTGAGGGGCATATTCACAGTTTTGTTTGGTTGGTTGTTATTTTCTTTTTGCAATGTTGGGGAGGGAACCCAGGGCCTAGTGCTTGCTAGGCAAGTGCTCTACCACTGAGCTGCACCTCCAGGCCTCCAGTTTTGTTTTGCTATGGAGGAACTATAGTAGCTATCTTCCCTTAACATCTTTAGATAACAGCACTGAAAATTGGAAGACTTGGTTAGTGACACCTCAAAGGCCAATCTTAATTTTCAAAATAATAAAAAAATTAAAAAACATATCCCTTCTGTGAGTGTGAAAATAAGAGTTTCTGAACTTCAAAATCATCAACCAAGACTAACTTTGATCACTGCACAAATGTAGAATTCCTGATGGAATTTCATGTGCATTTCAGTGTGATACCATTTAGGTCCCTGCACTTTCCAGAGAAGGAGTTTATTGCTTTCTATGGCCCAAGGCAATGAGCTGGTGTAATTATCAAAAGAGAAAGAAGTTTCTTGTTTTCATTATTGTGTTCATGGGAAAAGATATCAGGAATTCCTGTAACCTTGGGAATTCCTGATTTCTGCCCATGAATTCAGTTGGAAAACTGAAACTTTCTGGGCAGGGAGTGTGGGGGTGGTGATGGGAATGGACCCCTTTCACATGCTAAGTATGCACTCTGCTACTGAGCTACACCCCAGCCTGGAAGCAGCCTTTTAATTCTCCTAGGGAATATGACTGCTGCTGGGGGCAAAGTGACTGTGACCTGGAGGATGGGGGAATTGCCTTCCCTAGTTCTCCTTTTTTCTTTTCTTTCTTTCTTTCTTTTTTTTTTTTTTTTTTGATACCAGGTATTGAAGCCAGGGGTGCTTAACTACTGAGCCACATCTCCAGTCCTTTTTTGTATTTTATTTAGAGATAGGGTCTCACTGAGTTTCTTAGTGCCTTGTTAAGTTGCTGAGGCTGGCTTTGAACTAGCAATCCTCTTGCCTCAGCCTCCTGAGCTGCTGGGGTTACTGGCATGCACCATCACACCCAATACCTAGTTCTCTTTTCCAGTATGTACACATGTCTACCCCTAATCTGTAAAGCACTCCACCCTAAACCATGAAAAGGGCTTGTGATGTCAGCAGTTGCTTGGTCTTAGTCTATAGAATAAGATCCTTGAGGAGAGTCTGACCCTCCTAATAGTGTCCTGCACATTCCTTGGTACCCTCAATAACTTGACTTGATCTCTGAGCAGGGTTTTGAACTAAGAGAGTCCAGTACTCTGCACCAATTGATTAGGTGTTTAGGAAATGTTTTCAAAATAAATTCTAATAAATTCATTTCCTTTGACTTCTATCCATAGTAACTCATCTCTCCACTTGAATATATATATATATATATATATATATATATACACACATATATATATACATATATATATATATATATATATATATATATATAATAGCTGATCCCCAGCACTGCAAAAAAAAAAAAAAGCTTTGTTATACATGGAAAAATATTAAACCCAGAAAAACCTGAATTTTAAAAATACAAAATATAATAATATAATGAAGAGATATTACTGTATTATCACTACATCTACATTTCTGCTATTTTTACCATGTTTTTTTTTCAAATATTTATTTATTTTTTTTTTTTAGTTCTCGGCAGACACAACATCTTTGTTGGTATGTGGTGCTGAGGATCGAACCCGGGCCGCACGCATGCCAGGCGAGCGCGCTACCGCTTGAGCCACATCCCCAGCCCTATTTTTACCATGTTTATCTCCCAAACAAGATTTGAGAAGCAATGTTCAGTTAGATACGGAAAAATATCTGGGGCTAAAACTCAGTGGTAGAGCATTTGCCTAGCATGCTCGAAGTCCTGAGTTCCATCCCAGCACTGAAAAACACAAGTATTGTATCGAAGAAGAGAGATGTCACAAAACCTATTTGCTGGAACTAAAGTTCAAGTCTCCAAATTTCCTGGAAGTCAGGCAAATTGAGTATCACTCACTGTATGTGGACTCTTTTGGTACCCCAAGATTAGGGACTCACCCTGTAGATTTGAGGTAGTGCCTGCCCAAGTGTATTGTGGCTGCAGTGATTTTTTTGTTTTGTTTTGGTGCAGGGTATTGAACCCAGGGCCTCATGCATGCTAGGCAAGCACTCTACCATAGAGCCACATGCCCAGCCTCAGTTGCTATGGTTTGACTTCTCTTCTTCTCCCATGAGCCTGGGAGCTTTCAAGGGAGTTGGACCATATTCGCCTTCCTATCTTTGCTGCCCAAAATAGCATATAGAGTTCATGCTCAAAAAAAATATATTGAGTTATGTAGCCTTTGCTATTCAACAGGAGAAAGAGAACGCTCCCATTATCAAAATCACTGGAGTCCTTCTTTAAGAGATGTCAGGTAACATCATGGCTTCAGTGTGCTGTTTAGCCACTGGACTGTTTGTTGTCTTCTAACTATTGCTTTTGCCTCTACAGATGCCCCAGTCAGCTCAGTGGCCCTCCGCCAGTCAGGAGGCTATGTCGCCACAGTTGGAACAAAGTTCTGTGCTTTGAACTGGGAAGATCAATCAGTAGTTGTGCTGGCTACAGTGGATAAAGACAAGAAAAATAATCGATTCAATGATGGGAAGGTGGATCCCGCTGGGAGATACTTTGCTGGTATGATTTTTTTCTAGCATCTGCTTGCTGAGATTTGAAGGAAACACTATGACTTGGAAAGTTCTCACTGCTGTAGTAGTCAAAGTGTTATTCAAGTGGGTCTCTACCACTGAGCTACATCCCCAGTGCCTTTAAATTGGAAATAATTTCAGTTTTACAGAGCTAGTGCCACTGTGCATGCTGTAATCCCAAATACTCAGGAGGCTGAGGCAGCAGAAAGTTAAAGGTCAGTCTGGGCAACTTAGCGAGGTTGTCTTAAAATAAAAATAAAAAGGGATTGGAGTGTAGTTTAATAATAGAGCACTTGCCTAGTACGTGTGAAACCCTGATTTTAATCCCCAGTACCACACACAAAAACAAATTTACAGGAAAAAATGTAATAATACTAAAACAACTGTACACCTTTTGCCTAAAATCACCTGTTAACATTTTGTTCCTCTTCCTTTAACATTTGCTCTCTCTGTCTAAACTTATCTCCAGAATCATTTGAGAATATGTTGCATATAAATCATGAGTCTTTACCCCTAGACTACTTGAGTGTGAATTTCCCAAGAAAAATAACATATTCTTCCAACGTGAAGAAGTTTAACATTGATTCAATAACTTTATCTGATGTACTGTCTGTATTTTAGTTATGTGAATTGACCAAATATCCTTTATAGAATTCTTTGGGCTGTGAGTATAGCTGAGTAGTGGAGGGCTTACCTAAGCATGCCAAGGCCCTGGGTTCAATCCCTAGCAGCAGAAAAAAAAAAATTCCCCTTTCAATAAAGGATCAAGTCTGGGATAGTGTGTTAGACTTTCTTGCCTTGTCTTTTCATCCTCTAATCTGGAACACTTCCATGGACTTTCTTTTTTTTTATGGCATTACCATTTTTAAAGGATTCAGTCCTACCTAACTCCCCCAACACTTTTTTTAATAGAACATTCTTCATTTTGTAGTAATCTGATGTTTCCTTGTGATTAGCTTAATGTTATTCATTCTTGGATGGAATACTGTGTAAGTGATGTTCTGTCCTTCTCAGAGTATCTCATGTGGAAGCACATAATGTCCCTCTGCCCCTCATTGGTGATGTTAATTTTAGTCACCAGTTTAAGGTCCTGTCAGATTTCTCTATTTCATAGTAAGTGTGTTTTGTTTTGTTTTGCTTTGCTTTGTTTTGTGGGTTTGTGTATATGACAGTAGGGATTGAACCCAGATGTGTTCTGCCACTGGCCCTTATTTATTTATTTAGAGACAGGGTCTTACTATGTTGCCCAGGCTGGCCTTGAACTTGTGATTCTCTTGACTCAGCCTCCCAAGTAGCTGGGATTACAGTTATGTACCTCTGCACCTGTCTACAATAACTGCTTTTTTATTGCAATTTTTTTTTGGTACCAAGCATTGAACCTAGGGACATGTAACCACTGAGCCACATCCTCAGCTCTTTATTTTATTTTATTTAGAGACAAGGTCCCACTGAGTTGGTTAAGGCCTTGCTAAATTTCTGAGGCTGGCTTTGAACTCCGAGATCCTCCTGCCTCAACCTGCCTCCCAAACAGCTGGGATTACAAGCATGTGCCACCACACCCATGCCCAGCTGCACTGCAATTTATAAGCAGTTTGTGGGATTTGTTAGTTATATCACTGTGTAGCAAATTACCCTGAAAGTTAGTGGCTTAAAATAACAAATACATATTATCACACATATTTTCTGAAGGTCAAGAATGTGGGTGTAGCTAGATGATTCTGTTTCATTCTGTCTCATGAACTTGTAATCAAGCTGTCAGCTGGGGATGGATTCTCTGAAGGAACTTGGAGGATTTGCTTCCAGGTTCACTCACATAGGGGTGGACAAGAGGGAACCTTCAGTTTCTTACCACATGGGTATTTCCATAGGACTGTTTAAGACAGACTTCCCCTAGAGCTAGTGATGAGGGGCGGGGGAGAAAAACATGCAGGATGAAAGCTATAGTCTTATAACAAATCCTAGAAGTGGTATACTATCGTTTCTGCTGTCTGATATTGATCACACAGACAATGATGGATGGAGAGGTCTACACAAGAGTGTTAATACTGAGAGGCAGGGATCATTTGGACCTATCTTGAAGCCAAATCCCAGCTACTTGGAAGGCTAAAGCAGAAAGATCACAAGTTTCAGTCCAGCCTGGGCAACTTAGTGAGACCCTGCTTCAAAATAAGAAATAAAAAAGGTCTGGGCATGTAGCTCAGTGGTATCGTGTCCCTAGGTTCAATCTCTAGCACTGAAAAAGAAAGTTAGGTTTCTTGAGGCTGGCTGCAACATGGAGAGATACTTTAAATCCAAGCAAATACTCTGGTACTCATCCGAATTGCTCTGTTAAGTTTTACATTCATTGTTAATTCTTCTTTGAACCAATCTTGACTATGATGGCTGCAGAATGACTTCTATTCAGCTTTGAAAAAATTTTAGTTAACAGTTTCAAATTAGATATATACCTTACATCATTAACAACCTTATAAATTAGCCAAAGTTGATCTTCGTCCCTGATATTTCCACCTTCCCACGCTGTCCCCTCATGGCTGTTGATGACACTATCCTGGCTCCATTCACTGTCACCATGGAAGGCACATGAGATCTGAGCAGCTGGCTGTAAAATGTTCCCCAACTTCCTGGACTTTATATGACCATAGATATTGTGCAGGGCAGGTTGAAAGGTTAAAGATGAAAAGCCACTCGAAGCCCTTCTGCCAGTAATTGCTTGAAGATAAAGAATTATGATTGGATCTTCCTAATGAAGTCAATTTTTTTCTCTCTCCCTTATGGCTAGAAGTTTACAGTTCTGTGATACTTTATGAGAAAAAGATATCTTCTAAGGCCTGAGTTTTGCTTTGTTTTGCTGTCCTCAATACTGGGGATTGAACCCAGGGATCACTTGATCCCTAAGCTACAACCCCAGCCCTTATTATATTTTTATTTTGAGACAGGCTTTGTCCGAGTTGCTTAGGGCCTCGCTAAGTTGCTGAGGGTGGTCTCAAATGCAGTCCTCCTGCCTCAGCCTTCCAAGCTACCAGGCCCATCCTGAGACCTGAGTTCTTAATCTGGAGTCTCTGGGTCATCAGAAAACCCCTGAAAATTATTACATCATGGGTGTGCCTACTGGTGGTATGCACTGCCAGAAGCACCTGGGGACATTTTTCAAGAGAAGGGTCATAGTTCTCAGCAGGTGTTTAGAAATGTCTCAGGCCCAGAAAAGAGACATCTGACAATCTAGAAGGAGTCTCCTGGTGATCATACCCTGGAACTATCACCACACCCAAGGTCTGACATGTCTGTGCTCATTACTATATGGTAAAAAAAGCACACACCAGGTTATTCTCTCTCAATAAGGAAAAGCCCTTTCCAAGGAGGCCTTTCACGAATTCATGTTCCAGGCATCTCTTCCTGTGAGACAGATAGTGTAGATGAATATTCATGAAACAAACTCAAATGTCCTATAACAAGAAATTGCTCTGTGATCATCCTTCTTCCAAGGATCGGAAGAACTACCTGGTCTTGCTTGCTATTCAGGTTTCTCATTTATAATTCATTTTCCTCCTCTAACTTGCTTTTCTTTCAAATGATATATGATATAGTAGGTGAGCTTTTCCATAACAAAATATCTGAGGGAATTAACTTGTAAAGAGAAAAGTTTTAGGGTCTGGAGTTGTAATTTAATGGTAGAGTGCTTGCCTAGCATGTGTGAAGCACTGGGTTTGATCCTCAGCACCACATAAAAATAAATAAAAGCATTGTGTCCATATATAACTAAAAAATATTTGTAAAAATTTAAAAAGAAGAGAAAAATTTTATTTGGGCACACAGTTTTGGAGGTCCCAGTCCATGACCCATTGTTTTGAGTCTCTGGTGAAGCAGCTCATCATAGTAGAAATGCATAACACAGCAAACTGCTCACCTCCTGAGTCAAGAAGCAGAGAGTGACTAGACCAGCCAGGGTCCCACAATCCTCTTCAAGGGCACCCCCCACCCCATTACCTAAGGACTTCCCATGAGACCTCATCTCCTAAATATCCACAGCACCTCCTAGTAGCACCACCCTAGGGACCAAGCCTGTTACACATGGACCTTTAAGGACTTCCAATACCCAAACTATAGTATCAAATCATCTTCTGTTATATCTTAGACATTTTGAATATGAGAAGCCCCTGAGTCCTGTTTAAATCCTATAGAACATGTTGTTATAATTGTCTTAGCAGGAACTATATATATTTAGGGTAAGACCACAAGTTCCAACATGCTTTCTATTAGGTACTAAGATCATCTGTCCCATATGTGTGCCTGTCAGTAATCAGTCTGGTATAGAAGGTCCATTAGCTTCACTCCCAAAATCTTTTTTGTTGTTTTTGTTGGTGGTGGTTCTGGAAATTGAACACAAGAAGGTTCTACCTCTGTGCTACATCCCAAGCCCCTCTTTTTTTGTTTTATTTTGAGGCAGGGTCTCACTAAGTTGCCCAGGCTGGCCTTCAACTTGTAATCCTCCTGCCTCAGCCTCCTAAGTAGCTGGAATTATACCACGCTGGGCCCCAAATCTTTAATATACTGATTAGAATCCAATACATGTATGTACAAATTGGGGGTGAGCCTAGGCGTTCCTAAATAGCTTTGGGGGATTGCATTCCTCAGCAACTGCCTCTTTATTATCTCTCAGTACTTTCCAGTTTCCTGGAGCTCTCCTTTTCATTTCTCTAGCCAGAAACCACCCATTTCTATGATGATGCTGCCTATGGGGTCAAGCAGCAAAAGGACAGAGAAGAAAAGAATTTAAAAGCAAAGGGTTTAAAAAAGAATCAAAGTGAAAGTGCTTGGCATGCAGCATAATCAAATGGAAAGGAATATCCCCTTCCTTCAGAGTTTTGATTCCTGTAGTTTCCTATTTCTCGCCACTCTGCTGTTACTACCCCTGCTAACGAACTGTCTAGAGACTGGTGCATGAGAAAAAGGAGAAAACAGAATGGAAAATAACCCAGGTGCTTCCTCTATGCCCTCTGAGCTTCAAGAGTTTCCTTTTCTTGACCAGGCATGGTGGTATATGCCTGTAATCAAAGTGACTAAGGAGGCTGAGGCAGGAGAAGAATAAGGCCAGCTTTAGCAACTTAGCAAGGCCCTAAGCAACTTAGGAAGATCCTTCAAAATAAAAATTAGGGGACTGGAGTTGTAGCTCAGTGGTAGAGCGCTTGCCTAGTATGTGTGAGGCACTGGGTTCAATTCTCTGCACTGCATATAAATAAATGAATAAAATAAATGTCCATCAACAACTAAAAATATACTAATAAATAAATAAAAATATAAGGGCTGGTGATGTAGCTCAGTAGTAAGGCACTTGCTTAGCATGCACAAGGCCTCATGTTCTATCCCTAGCAATAAATAAATAAATAAATAGCTGTATCATACATGTTGTCTAGGTTTTAGAGTTGTTCTCAGTAGGAGAAAATGAAGTTGGCACATGTCTACCCCATCTTATTAGGAATCGGAATGTCTCAGCATAATTTTTTCTTAATACCTTTATTTTATTTATTTATATGTGGTGCTGAGGATCGAACCCAGTGCCTCACACATGCCAGGCAAGTGCTCTACCACTGAACCACAACCCCAGACCCTCAGCATAGTTTTAATTTGCATTATAAGCAAGGTATTTGTCATTTTTAAAAATGTAAAACCTAAATTTGGTATAGTGGTGCTTGTCTATAGTCCCAGTGACTCAGGAGGCAGAGTCAAAGAAAATTGCAAGTTTAAGGCCAGATCAGCAATTTAGGGAGACCCTCAACAACTAACTGAAACCCTGCCTGAAAAAATAAAGAGTGAGGCATGGTGTCTCATGCCTGTAATTCCAGTGACTTAGGAGGCTGAGGCAAGAGGATCACAAGTTCGAGGTCAGCCTCAGCATCTTAGTGAGGCCCTAAGCAACTTAGTGAGACCCTGTCTCAAAAAATAAAGGGCTGGGGATATGGCTCAGTGGTTAAGCACCATTGATTCCATCCTCAGTACCAAATAAATAGGGATGGGGATTTAGCTCAATAGAGCACCCCTGGGTTCAATCCTTAGTACAACAAAAAGTAAATATATATGCATATATACATATATATGATGCGTATCCCAAATTGAGATGTACAGTAATTCCCTGGTTTATTTTTTTAAGATTATTTATTTTTTATTTGGTACCAGGGATTGAACCCAGGGACAATTAACCACTGAGCCACATCCCCAGCCCTTTTTATTTTTATTTTTTTAAGATGCACACACACACACACACACACACACACACACACACACTCCTTTTCTTTTTTAAAATATTTTTAGATGTTATAAACCTTTCTTTTATTCATTTATTTGTATATGGTGCTGAGAATCGAACCTAGGGCCTCACACAGGCTAGGCAAATGCTCTTACCACTGAGCCACAACCCCAGCCCCTATTTTTATTTCTATTTTTTTTTTATTTTGAGACAGGGTCTCTCTAAGTTGCTTAGGGCCTCACTAAGTCACTGAGGCTGGCTTTGAACTTGTGATCCTCCAGCCTCAGCCTCCCAACCCACTGGAATTAGAGTCATGTGCTACTGTACCTGGCAATTCCCTTGATTTAAACACTGGAAAGGATCTCTGATGAGAAAGAATGGTGTTGTGCATGGAATGAGATACTGTGGGGCCCAGCTCAGTGCTCTTTGGTTTTTGTAGGTACCATGGCCGAGGAAACAGCCCCAGCAGTACTTGAGCGACACCAAGGGTCCCTGTACTCTCTCTTTCCTGACCACCATGTGAAGAAGTACTTTGACCAAGTGGACATTTCCAATGGGTTGGATTGGTCCCTGGACCACAAAATCTTTTATTACATTGACAGCCTCTCCTACTCTGTGGATGCCTTTGACTACAACCTGCAGACAGGACAGATCTGTATGTACTTTATCATTATTTTTCTCAATACTGCTGGTATATTTTTCATGTTTGTGATTAGTAAGGCACCTCTTCCTCAACCCATGTGAAGAGGTCCTTACTTGTCAAATACAGAATTTTCCAATGTTATTATTCCCATATAATAATGATTACACAGACTTAACTGAACTGCTAAACTGTGGCCCTCAACACAATGAAAATGTGGTCAAGGTTGGCCTAATATGCATAGACCATTAATCCTTTCTTTCCACCATCATCAGAAAGGTATTCTCTGGAAAAAGAATCCTGTTCTAACAGAAGTACCTAAAGACCAATAATATAGAACAGTGTGGGATAAAAGAAAATTAGAGTTTGGTTCCTAATCTTTATTTGTACTTTACATGATCATGGACTAGTACTCAGAGGCAAATTAACAACTTTGAAAACAGAAAAGCAGTTACAGGTTGGTTCAATTCCATCAATGTGCTGTAAATAAGACATATTTGGAAACTAGGAAGGAAGGAATTATTTAGAAAAATTTAGAAGGGAGTCCTTGAACTGTTTGATGAAAGGTGCCAGACCAAAAGAGCAAAACCAATCATAAAAATGACTTGAAAAAAATCACAAGGCTCTCCATGCAGATTTAATCAGAGGTAAAATATTCCAGTACAGATACTTTTGCTTTGAAATATGTAGTGTTCTTTTTTATGACTGTTTTTATCCATTTTCCTTACACATGGTTTGAACATTTTTCCATTATATTTCAATCTGATTACTGTAGTGACCTGATTTTTTTTTCCTTTGGTAAGGAGGATTGAACACAGAAACACTTTACCACTGAGCTACATCTTCAGCCCTTTTTATTTTTTATTTTGAGAGAGGGGCTTGCTAAGTTGCTTAGACTTGTGATCCTCTTGCTTCAGTCTCCTGAGTTGCTGGGACTATAGGCATGCACCACCCAGTCCTGTACTTTTTTGATGTGTGTTTTTTTGTATACCATGATCCCCCACTTTAACCAGGCAATGGGTTTCAGGATGCCCCTCCTTTCATATGCAATTTCTTCTAATATTTAGTCTTGATTTTGGAGCATGTGGTCAGGCAGAAAAAAATCTCATATATCTTCCTAGTTTGAGGGCACAATTTGTTCACCATTAAGTTGCTTTATAGATCTTAGACTTAATCAAAGTCGGCATTTTTGTAACTAAAACAGCAAAAGTGTAATCACAAGACTAAAGAGTATCTGAGATTGGCCTGCAGGGCCTCAGTTCAGGTCAGTCTCAAAGATAACTACCTATTGATATTTTTTATTAATTTATTTTATTTTTTTAAACAAATGGAGCACAACTTTTCATTTCTCTGGTTGTACATGATGTACAATCACCATGCATGCAATTATACCCATACATAGGGGTAATAATGTCCATTTAATTCTACCGTCTTCCCCCCACACACATACATACACACACCCTCCTCTCTGCTCGATTGTTATTTTATTAAGAAGTTTACTTGGAGCTGGGCACAGTGGCACATGCCTGTAATCCCAGCAACTCAGCAGACTGAAGCAGAAGGATCACAAGTTCAAGGCCAGCCTCAGAAATCTAGTGAGACTCTGTCTTGAAATAAAGAATAAAAAGGACTGGGGATGTAGCTCAATGGTAAAATCGCCAAGAATCAATCCCTAGTACCAAATAGTACCAAAAACAAAGAAGTTTACTTGGATTGGAGGACAAACTCAGAGGTAGAACACTTGCCTAGCATGTGTGAGGCCCTGAATTCCATCCCCAGAAACACAAAAATAAAATAATTCTTTTTTTCCCCTCTTCTTCTGAAAGCTGAGGCACATATGTCTGTACCAAAACAAAAGGGAGTTAATTCACCCCAAATCATGTGGTAATAATCCTTTGTTCACATGCCAGACACTGGATAAGGAGAGGTGATCAGTATTTATAATCAGCTTAAGAGTTCATTGTGTGATTCTCTGTATTGAATGGCCTGTTGCTTTCTTGTATTTTTGGTTTTGTTTTTTTTAACCATAGCCAACCGAAGAAGTGTTTACAAGCTGGAGAAAGATGAGCAAATCCCAGATGGAATGTGTATTGACACTGAGGGGAAACTTTGGGTGGCCTGCTACAATGGAGGAAGAGTGATTCGTTTAGATCCTGAGACAGGTAGGCCCACAGCAAAGTGCAGTCTTTGCCAAGTCTAGAAAACACCAGATGCTAGGGACCTCATTCCTAGTAAAGTTAGAGATATATTCAGTGGTCTCATCTGGATGATTTTAGAAAAGGCCAAAGATATAGCCCAAAATTTACAAGCAGAACTTCTTTTCCTATAGAGGTAAGTCTCTTTGCTCAAAATAAATCATCAGGGAAGGCAACTTAAATACATGGATGAGTTCTGACCTGCATGGTCTTCTTAGAACTCCACAAAGGGTCCAGAAATACTTGACAGGTTGGAATTTTTTAGAACTAAACTTCAAATAAACTATTTGGCTATCTAGGGAAAAGACTCCAAACAGTGAAGTTGCCTGTTGACAAAACAACTTCATGCTGCTTTGGAGGAAAGGATTACTCTGAAATGTATGTCACCTGTGCCCGGGATGGAATGGACTCTGAGAGTCTTCTGAGGCAACCTGAAGCTGGTGGAATTTTCAAGGTAATAAAACTATTTCTTTTATTTTGGGGGTGAGGTAGAGAACTGAGTGGTGCTTTTGCATACTTCCAAAACATAATTCTAGTTGGTGTGTTAAGCTTAACATGCTAGACCTAAAAGTATTTTATTTAGATTTTGTAGGCTGTTACCTAGAGTCCAGGATGATATATTTAACCTACTTTGTTCAGTATTTAAAAATATTTTTGAGCTTTAGTAGTATTTGTTAGTATCCATCAAATGAATAAAATGAGCTTGGAAAACTGATGTCTGAAACATGTTTACAAGATCACTTGATTGTTTTTATATCTTAAGAACATTTTCAGGGATTTTTTTTAACATTTATTTTTCAGGTGTAGATGGACACAACAAAATACCTTTTTTTTTTTAAGAGAGAGAGAGAGAATTTTTTAATATTTATTTTTTAGTTCTCGGCGGACACAACATCTTTGTTTGTATGTGGTGCTGAGGATCGAACCCGGGCCGCACGCATGCCAGGCGAGCACGCTACTGCTTGAGCCACATCCCCAGCCCCAATGCCTTTTATTTTTAATGTGGTGCTGAGGATCGAACCCAGGTCTCACCCCTGCTAGGCGAGTGCTCTACTGCTGAGCCACAATCGCAGCCCTATTTTCAGGTTTTTGATAATTTATTTTTACAACAGAACAAACATTGACAAAAATCACAGACTTTTTTGAGCTGAAAAGAAATATAGAAATATAGGAATCACTTCCTTAACAGGTAGGAAGATGATAGAAATAAATTTGATGTCTTTGTGGTCCCAGAGAGTAATCCCAGAGACCCAGGAGGCTGAGGCAGGAGGATCAAAAGTTCAAAGCCAGCCTCAGCAATTTAGCAAGGCCCTGAGCAACTTAGCATGACCCTGTCTCAAAAAAAAAAATTTTTTAAACAGGCTAGGGATATGGCTCATTGGTTAAACACCCCTGTGTTCAATGGGGAAGGAGGATGCTTTTGAAGAATATTTGTGAATTAACTTTTTTCAGAGTTTCTCTCTTTTCCAACAGATAACTGGCCTGGGGGTCAAAGGAATTGCCCCCTATCCCTACGCTGGATGAGTAACAGATTTTCCTTCATGCTGAATGAGGCTTTGAAGACAAGCAGAGAATTCTGGGGCTGAAATTTCAATCTAGATTAGAAAAATGAAGCAATGATATTAACAGGGTTAAATTTTAATTTTACAATTTTGGGTACTAGTGATTGAACTCAGGGCCTCATGCATACTAAGTACATGCTTTTTCCACTAAGCTATAACCCTGCCACATTAATTTACAATTTTTTTAAAGTATAGCATTTTTAACAGGGGATGTCAGGTGGTTTGTTAACACACTCTAAGACTTTCAGTAAAAGGTCTTATAAAAATGAAAAGAGTTGTTCAACTATCAGGGGTTGGGGATGTGGCTCAAGTAGTAGTGCACTAGCCTGCCATGCATGAGGCACTGGGTTCGATCCTCAGCACCACATAAAAAAAAAAAAAGATAAAATAAAGATTTTTAAAAAAAAGAGTTGTTCAACTATCAACCAGCCTCTTAACTTTTACAAGTATCTCAGGGTGGTTGGAATGGGTCCATATCTATTCTTTATTCTGCATTCCCTACTTACTTTATCTAAAGATTCAAAAACTAATAAACAGAAACTTGATAATGATTTATTACAATTATGTTCCTTTTTGTTTTCATCATAACCTCATAAAATATACCATGAAGCTAACCTACCTTATTATTACTCTTTTGGGTTTGGTTCTGTTTGTTATTGTTTTTTGCTTGTTATTACTCTTCCCATATGTTATTTTACAAACTAAAGTACTACTGGAGGATAAGACGCTAACACTCTGGCAAAATTCCTGGTTCCAACTGCCACCTACTGGATATAAAAGTAGTATGACACTTTGGAGAGCTTTGTTTTTGTTTGGTTTGATTTGGGTTTTGGTACTGGGGATTGAACCCTGGGGCACTCTACCACTGAGCTACACCCCAGCCCTTTTTATTTTTCATTTCAAGACAGGGTCTTGCTAAGTTGCTGAGGCTGGCCTTGCACTTGTGCTCCTTCTGCCTCAGCCTCACAAGTCACTGGGATTATATGCATGCACCTCAGCGTCAGGCTTGGAGAGAATTTTTTAAGTAGCTTTATTGAGTTATAATTAGGCTACACATATTTAAAGTGTACAATTTGACAAACTTGTCATGTATATGTATATAATACATAGTGTATATATTGTCAGATATATACGCATATTAATAATACAAACACCATAAACAAGGTAATTAATCTCTCTACTACCCTCACACCTTTCTTTATGTCCCATTGTAATCATTTCTTTGATTTCTCTGTATACTTGTGTCCTATTCCCAAGAAGCCACTAATATGCTTTCTGTCACTATAAATTAGCCTTAAAATTGGGTACTGTGATCCTCAGTACCACATAAAAATAAATAAATAAAGGTATTGTGTCCAACTACACCTAAAAAATAAATATTTTTTAAAAACAAAAAATAAAAATGATTTTTGATGTGTCTCAGTAGTAATGTACCTCTGAGTTCAATCCCTGGTACCAAGTAGTAGTAGTAGAAGTAGTAGTAACAACAACAATAATAATAATTCTCTGGAAAGGATAGTGTGTAATTATGGTTATTTAGTCTTTAAATATTTGGCAACGTTCCAACCTTTTGGACCTGGAGATTTTTCCTTTTCTTTCTTTCTTTCTTTCTTCCTTTCTCTCTCTCTCTCTCTCTCTCTCTCTCTCTCTCTCTCTCTCTCTCTCTCTCTCTCCCCGCCCCCTTTCTTTCTTTCTTTCTTTCTTTTTTGAGACAAGCCTCTCTATGTTGCCCAGGCTGGCCTCCAACTTTTGGGCTCAAGCAATCCTTCAGCCTCAGACTCCCAAGTAGCCCAAGTAGCTTGGACTACAGGTATGCACCATAGTGCCTGGCTTTTTGAATTTTATCTGGGAAGCTAATTTTTTTTTTTTTTTTTTTGCAGTGCCCAGGAATCAAACCCAGGACATCTCACATGCTAAAGCATCCCCAGCCCTTTTTTACATTCTATTTAGGGAAAAGGTCTTGCTGAGTTGCTAAGTGCCTCACTAAGTTGCTGGGGCTGGCTTTGAACTAGTGATCCTCCTGCCTCAGTCTCCTGAGTCACTAGGATTACAGGCTTGTGCTACCACACCGAGCTCATATTTATACTTTGTCCATCATCTTACTTGAAAATTACCTGAGTGATTATATTTTGAGTTTCTTTATTTATCATATAGTTGGGCCATTATTTTATCCTTCTGACAATCTCTGTATTTTCATTTATGTGTGTATACCATTGATATTTGGTATAATTATTGATATGTTTAGATTTAGGTCTGCCATTTTATTATTTGCTTTCATTTTTCCTGTTTATTTTTCTGTTTCCTTTAGGGCCTTCATTTGGGTTATTTGAACATTTTCTTGTACCTTTTGATTCTAACTATATCTACTTACATAATTTTTTCAGTGATTGCTTTAGGGATTATAAAATACAAAGATTTTTATTTTGTTTTGCTTTGTTTTTTGTGGTGCTGGGGATCAAATCCAGGGCCTTGTCTATACTAGGCAAGCATACTACCACTGAGTTAAACTCCCAGGCCCCAAATTAACATTTCTTAGTCTATTAGAATCAATACTTTACCACTTTCCTTTTGATGTATAACCCTTACCCTTCCTCCTTCTTGTTATGTTATTATATACTATGTCTGTATACAGTTATGTGCCACATGTTTCAGTCAAGGGTGGACCACATGCATATACAACAGTGGTCACATAAGATTATATTGCCTAGCAATATATTCTTACATGTCTGTAATCCCAGCAGGTTGGGAAGCTGAAGCAGGAGGATTGCAAATTCCAGGCCAGACTCGGCAACTTAGTGAGGCCCTAAGCAATTTAGCAAGACCTTGTCTCTAAGTGAAAAATAAAAAGATCTGGGGATGTGACTCAGTGCCTCTGGGTTCAATCCCCAGTACAAAAAAAAAAAAAAAAAGACTATATTGCCTAGTAACATTGTACCATAGTAGCCATCTAACTTGTACAAGTATACTCTGTGATGGTTGTACAATGACAAAACTATCTATTCATGCATTGCTCAGAACATATTCACCTTGTTAAGTGGAGCATGACTGTACTTTCACTCAATGTTACATATTTTGCTTTTAACTATGAAGCAAGTTTTAAAGAACTCAAAAGGAGAAAAATAGCTCATGCTGTATGCAGTAGCACACACCTATAATCCCAATGGCTTGGGGAGGCTGAGGCAGGAGGAGTTCAAAGCCAGTCCTCAGCAACTTAGCAAGGCCCTGTCTCAAAATAAAATATAGTCATGTATAACTAATTAGAACAAATTCTTTAAAAATAAAAAAAATATATATAAAGGGCTGGGGATGTGGCTGAGTGGTTAAGTATCCCTGGGTTCAATCCCCCCACCCCACCCCCACAAAAAAGCTCATTATGTTTACCAAGATATTTACCATTCCTGTTGTTCTTCCTCCATTCCTGATGTTCTCAGTTTCTTTCTTTTATCCTTTTTTATTGTCTAAAGGATTTCATTTAATACTTCCTCTAGGCCAGGTATGCTGCCTGCGACTTCTCTTAATTTTCTTTCATATAAGAATGTCTTTATTTCACCTTCATTTCTAAAGGCTATTTTTACCAGATATGGAATTCAGGGTTGCTAATTCCTTTCTTTTAGCATTTCAGCATTTTAAAATGTGCCATTTCCTTCTGGCCTTCTTGGTTTCTGATAAAAAAGCTACAGTTATTCCCCTTCAGGTAAATGAGTCATTCTTTTCTCACTGCTTTCAAAATGTTTTGTCTTTTGTTTGCAACAGTTCTGATGTGTCTGGATGTGGATTTATTTGACTTTATCCCATTTTGAGTTTGCTCATTTTTTTGAATCTCTAGCTGGATGTCATTATCTAGCTTGGGATATTTGAGCCATTATTACTTCAAATATTTTTACTGCCTCATGCACCTTTCTTTTTAGGAACCCAGTGACTTGAATATTAGACTTTTTGTTATTTCGCCTGTGTTGAATTTTTTTCAATTTTATCCTTTCTGTTGTGCTGGTTCGATAATATTTCTTGATCTATCATCAAGTTCACTGGATTATTCCTCTGTCAACTTTATTCTATTCTTCTATTGATCTCATCCAGCACCCAATTATCTTTCTTTGGCAGGGGGCAGTACTTGAACCCAGGGGTGCTTATTTTAGTCAGCTTTTTCACTGCTATGACTAAAATACCTGACAAGAACAATTTTAAGGAGGAAAAGTTTATCAGAGGGCTCACAGTTTCAGAGGTCTCAGTCCATAGACAGCCATTTCCACTCCTCAGGGCTCAAGATGAGGCTGAACATCATCACAGTAGAATGTGGTAGAAGGAAGCAGCTCACATGATGATCAGAAAGCTGATCTACTTTCCAGATACAAAATATATACCCCAAAACCACACCTCCAGGCACTCACTTCTTCCAGCCACATCCTACCAGCCCTCAGTTATCACTCAATTAATTTTGTCAGGGGATCAATTCACAGATTGCTTTAGGGCTCTCATAACTCAATCATTTTTCCTCTAAACCTCTTGTGTTGTATCACACATGAGTTTTTGGGAGATACCTCATTTCCAAACCATAACAATGCTCTACCACTGAGTTATACCCCAACACTTTTTATTTTTTATTCTGAGACAGGATCTCACCAAGTTGCTGAGGCAGGCCTAGAACTTGGAATCCTTCTGCCTCAGCCTCCCAAACTGCTGGGATTACAGGCGTGTGCCATCCAGCCTGGCCACCCAGTTATCTTTCTAATTTTATCTTTCATTTCTAAAATTTCCATTTGGCTGACCTTTACATGTTCTCTTTTCTATTCAAATACTTTCCATTTTAATATTTGTTCTGAGAATTTTCATGATTGCTCATTCAATCATTTTTTAATAATGACTGTTTTAAAGTTCTTCTCAGATAATTCCAGTGTCTGAATGATCTCATTCTTGGCATCCATTGGTTGTCTTTCCCCATCTGAAGGGAGCATTTCATTGTTCTTTGTATACTCAGAGATTTTGGATAGTATCTAGGACATTTTGGATATTACATTGGGATTCTGAGTCTTGT